TCTTCTATCCTGTGTCTGACCCATATTAAATGTTCTTTAAATGTTTATCATGTGAATAACTGAACAAATGCAAGCATACTGGTAAGCAATTTTTGAGAAGGGTCTGTATATCAGTCTTTATTTCCATTGCTAGAAAATGATGGAACTTCCAATCTCTCATCATCAGAGTATTTCACAAAGCTGAATAAACAAAATGTGTTAGCATCTCTCAGCTTCTCAATTATGTTATAATCAGCAACAATTAGATCTTTTCACAACAGGTCTTCCTTCAATCAATATATTCTCTTTTCTAAATCCTTCCCTGTCTTGTTTGTTCAGGCTACTGTAACAAAAATATACCATAAATTGGGTAACTTATAAACAAGTGAGATTTACTTCTCACAGTTCTAGAAGCCAAAAGTCCAAATTCAAGGCACTGACAAACTATATCTAGTGAGAGCCTGTTTCTCATAGATCGTACCTTCCTTTAAATGGCAGAAGGAGCAAACAAGGTCCATTGGGCCTCTTTGATAAGGTCATTAATACCATTCATGGCAACTATGCCCTGATGACCTTGTCACCACCATTTAACACTATTACATTGATGATATAAATTTCTGAATATACAGCCTGGTTATTGTTAGCTTTGCTTTTGAAAAAAATAGTATTAGTACAGCCTCCAATCTTTTCCTCGATACTACCTACTAAGAGTCTTACTTCTCTATTTCCATAACAATGTTTCTAAACCATAACAATGCATTATAAGTTCCTCAAAAGTTTGTAAGAACCTGGATAAGCACTGTGAATGCTTCACCTTATGTAATAGCCATTCCTATTCTAAGGCAAATCTTTGTACCAATAACTCTTCCTCATGTACCTGGTTTCTAAATCCTTGATATACTGGATGCCAGTATTTGGTAGTATCACAGTTTCTCAATAGCATTTTTAAAGTGGATCTATCCAAGTGGATAAACGACATCATGCTTTAATTAGCTAGCACACATAAAAGGGAACCATTGCATCCCTTCACCCGAGTATCTCTATCATGGACTATGATGAAATTTTAGCACTTAACATTACCACAACAGCTCTTACTAAATCTTTACTCATGTAAACTGCTACCAGGCTAGGGCCTCACCAATCTTAGTTTCTTGTAATACTTACTGTTCCAGCATCAGGTCTTTCTGGCTTGAAGCATGTCAATTTTTTCTACATCTCAGTCTCTGAGTAAATGTTCAACAGAATGGGTCCACAGAAAGTATCACTTATGCTTTTTCAAATTCCTCAGTAAACTATTATATGTTCTTATTTTGCTACTTCTTTAAGACCAATTTCACCCTCATGGATTTCCCCTGATTCCTATGATACACATAAGACCACTTAAATTGTTTACCAAAACTGTAAGACTTTTAGAGTTAGAAGGGACTTTCCAGGATCATCTAGTCTTGCCTAACTCTATTTACAAAGAACAGGAAATCAGAAAAGTTTAGTTACATACCCTAGGCTAGTAAGTAGTTTATCTGGGGACAGAACTAAGGAATTCTAAATACAAGTATGTGATACTCTTTCCATTACAGGCTTTCTTGTATTTTTATTTATTCTCTAAATGAAATAAACTATTGTTTATTATTATTTGTTTTATCTAAAACAATGTTCAATTTTTGTTTTAACGAGTATTCTGGTTACCACTCAAAGAGAGCACATATCCTGTTTACTTATTTAAGTCCGTTCAGGGAATAGGTGAATGGATAACCTATCTCTACTCTGAAAAGCTGGCAAAATAAGCGGAAATTTTAAGGTGCCACAGGGATTGAGGAAAGGAATATTTTGGCTACAAATCTTAGATCCTGGCCCTGGGACTATAAATACATTTAAGAATAACAATTAACTTCCTAAGACTCAGACAAGAGAATAATTTTATAATTTTATTAATAAGATGATAAATATTAAATCACTGTATCACAATAATTTTTATACCATTTCTGATTGATTTATGGTCAACATTACTTATGACCACACCTACATATAGAATCCATTGTATTGATAATAACTAACAACTATCATCTACCTCCCTATCAGAAAATAAGCTGTGTAAGAGTTAATGTTAGTTTTTCACTCTATGATTTTTGCCTGCTTTGGGTAGACGTGCATAAATATTTTCATAAATAAGTCCTCTGAAAAGAAAACTAGTCCCAAATCTGGAAATGTACAGATCTAAAAAAATGTAATAATTCTCCAAAAAGTAAACAGAAGTTATGAGACATTCCACAAAAATACCTCATGTCCTAGCCACCAAAGCTAACAAAAGAAATAAATGAATCCTCATATTAAAATTATAACATTCTTTTTCAACAAAGTGCTTACTCCTCTTTGTTTTGCCCTTTTCCCTGGAATTTCTCGTCAGGTTACCCTTTGTTTCCTTAGATTCCTTGTGCATAAGAGACTTCTACAACAACTCCTCTGTTCATTTTTTAGAAATACCAAGCAAATAGTCAAGGAGATCTAATAAGTTCACTCCTAAGGATCATAAAAAGATTATCAGCAGACATACAGACTAGACTTTTTAAGTTAGTATTTTACTAATGCTTTTACTAAATGTTACTTTACACAGTTTCTACAAAATCTAGAAGTAGCAAAACACTATCATGTTAATTAATTCAAAGGATGAGGATACAGAAATTTGTTCACCCAATCGCTTTTTCTAATGTTTTTAGTATGTTTACAATTGATTTATTTCACTTCAAATGTCTGTGCTAAGTTGAAAATTACTGAATTAGAATTAACTGCATCAAATCCAAAACATTGGATGTCTTTTTCCTATTTGTTAAATTTTCAGACCAAAGCGTTTTAAAATTATTTTATTTAGCAAGTCAAAACTAATTCTTGATATATTACCATCATTTAGCTTACATTACATAAACAATACTAAGTACTAACTTATATAAACCCAAGTTGTTTCCATAGTCTCCCTTAAATTCACAAAAGTGAAAACTCTAAATCAAAAACAACAAAATTACAGATTAAAAAAAAAAGAATAACTTACTGAAAAACTCTTTAAAGGTGTTTAACCAATCCATCTGAATAAAAATCCTGTGTTCTCTTTTGTAAGTTTGTTAACACAGCTCAGGATAATTCTCAGTCAGCTTCCTGGTCTGTTCTGCAACACTGAAACTTCCCACACCCAATCCATGTGACCTGGCTGACACCCAAGCAATAGAAAGTTTTTCTGAGGCTTCTCTCTTTCCAAAACCCTCCCCCAACCCCAAAGTAGAAAAGAAGCTATAAAGCAAGTAAATCATCATGGCCAAAAATGTGAGCTTATTATTTACAATTATTTTGGAAGAAGAAACATTATAACACATATATATTTTTTAATAATTAAAAATATATTCACACATTCATCCTTTTGTTTCCTCCTTTTCCTTAACTCCCAAACATTTTAACTAACTAGTCAGACTAGTATCTATACTAGTATAATCACTTTGAAACAAGTTAATTATATGGGACATTTAAGTTACCAAAAAGGGGTGCAGGGCTGGGGTTTAGCTAAGTGGTAGGGCACTTGTCTAGCATGCATGAGGTCATGGGGTTTGATCATCCCTCGTAGCCACCCCACCAAAAAAAAAAAAAAAAAAAAAAGCCAAAGGGGTGCAGAAACTCTTGAAAAAAAGGAGAAGGCAGACAGATGCAAAACAAGATTCATATCCTGATACAGGCTAACTACAGATCACTAATGTAAAGCCATGTTTCTGAACACCCTGGAATATAGGTAGCAATAACTATAATATTATAATAAAGTTAACAACAATTTCTAAAATAGAGATAAGTCTTTGGCTCAGAGACTGACATTATAAATACTTAATGGAATTCTAACTTTCAATTGTACTGTATTTTAGCTTTTGCTGTACAATAGTTAAAAACATTAAACATTTGTCTTATATTGCTGATAGTTAAAAGACCTAGAATAACAATACTGTTGAATAAGAAATAAAAACTCATATAAAGCAGTGAGTCAAAATAATTTTACATATTTGGGGACTGGGGTTGTGGCTCAGAGATAGAGCACTCGCTTACCATGCGTGAGGCACTGGGTTCAATCCTCAGTACCACATAAAAATAAAATAAAGATACTGTGTCCATCTAACTAAAATATTTAAAAATTAATAATAATAATATTGCATTTTGTCAATCATGCTACAATGATCCCAAACTATCTTTTACAAGGAGGAATGTTTCTTTTCTTCTAGAACAGTTAAGCAAAGGCATTTCTGCCTGAATAACAAAATTAATTTCTATCCCTCCCAATTCCTTCCTGTCAGCTAAGAAGAATTTAATTAAGAACATTAAAAAAAAAAAAAAAAGCCTGTCTTCAACCGTACATATTTCCTTCCTATCAGCTTAGCCAAGTCCAGCATGAAGTAGCTACTGTTGCCTGAGCCTCACCTAAAGCCAGTAAAATCAACAAACTTAGAGGAAGAATAGAGGAAGAATAGAGGGGGTAAAAAGGGAATCAAAATAGGAAGGATATCAGCCTTTTAGATGCTAATGATCCACAAATGTTTAAAATAAAAGGTTTGTCTTTTAAAGTGAAGTTCAAAATGTCAAGTCATTAGATATTAAAATTTAGTAAAGTGTCATTTAAAATAAATTGCCTTGATTCCCAAGAAGGCTATACTGTGTTGTACTTACTTTTCCCTGCCTCAATTTGCCTCTAAGTCTAAACTCCAACAGGATACTCTGAATCAAGGAGCTATAAGGTCAGAGTTAATTCTGCTCTTTAGTACCACTTGACCTTTGAACTTGGACCTGGATTTACAGAAACTACTAACTCTTATGACTGTCACAAGTCTCCTAGCTTGTACACCTGCTATAAAACCAGATTTATCTAATGATTAACTGAAATTCCAGTCCTGGCCTTTTCAAGTCAATTTTTCCCACTGGTGTCAATTTTGTACAGTGAACCAAGTTCCAGAATCCATGTAAAAGGAATTTGTTTTTCTTTCAATACAAAAGCAACTTACCTAAAGTGTCCTTTAGGTTTTTTACAATAGATGCTTTCCGAGCACTGTTTTTTCTTTCCACATAATTAGAAGGCACAAAACCTGTTTTATTCATGGAATTTCGAACTCTCCACCAGGATTTAGAATCATCCAGAAGCCATAATCTCTCATTCTTCTTGATGTCCAACTCTTGTTCTTGCTGGGCCACATAATCAAATTTGGCTACTACTACCACTTCTTCTGCCATCTTTTAGCAGCTTTAGCACTGTAAACAGAAAATATTTTTATATGAAATTCAAATAGTGGTAGTCTACATGCTTTTTCAAAAAAGAAATCAAGATTACTGAAATCAAGGATATTGAAAGGCTAAAAATAAAACTACAGAAAAAAATACAACAGATAAATAATAATTTTAAAAAACTTGTGGTGTTATATTAACAGTGATGTTAAATTAAGGCAAAAACCATTACTAGCAGTGAAGTTCAAACAAATGACAAAAAGTTCTATTCATATAAATAAGATAAAAACTTTTATATACCAAATAGCAGAAACCTGAGCAGTGTTTTTCTTTCCACATAGTTTGAAGGCACAAAACCAAAATAAATAAACTGAAAGAACCCTAAGGAGAAACTGACAAATCTATAATTACAGAGGGTAATTTTTTATATTTTACCTCAGTAATGAAACAATCTAAGAGACAAAAACATTAAGGAACTGATATCATAATAGTAAGTTTGATCTAATAGACATATACTTCTAAACAGAAGAACAGATATGGAACATACCACAAAAATAGATCAAATGCCAGGCCATAAAGCATGTTTCGCCAGGCACAGTGGCACACGCCTACAATCCCAGCAGCTAGGGAGGCTGAGGCAGCAGAATTGAGAGTTCAAAACTAGCCTCAGCAAATGAGATACTAAGCAACTCAATGAGACCCTGACTCTAAATAAAATACAAAACAGGGCTGGGGATGTGGCTCATTGGTCAGGTGCCCCTGAATTCAATCCCTGGTACTTCAGCAACTCTGTGCCCCATAACCACCCATTTAATCCATTGGCTTAATGAAATTCAATTCTAGGTCCCAAGAGAATCTATTTTGAAACCTGACAAACTGATATGAAAATTTATCAAGAAAAGTAAACATGTAAAACTGGCAACAAATGTTCTGGAAAAAATAAGAATTGGTATGCTAACATTACAGGTTAGGTACTCAGCATTTCACAATGTCTGTTTTCCAAAATACCCTTCTACCAGCACCTCTTCTGTCATTAGCTTAGTCATACAAGTTGGGAGGTTGATTCTACTTATAAAAGTAACTCTGTAGACTAATCCAAACCCCACCTGAATATTAGAATCACTTCCTGAACTTATCACAGGAGACCTACTGGGAAGTAGAGCCAGAGTTGCTAAAATAAGCACTGAAAGCTGCCCCTTGAACCTCCAGTTACTTGAGCTAATAAATTTCTTTACTAAGATAACTTTAATTGGATTTTCTGTTATCCTCAGTAAAGGCAGTTACCCTATCAGATATCAAAATGTGCTTTAAAAAGAAAAATGGAAGTCCCAAAAAACCAAAAGCCAAATGTTGTCTTTGATATGAAAATGCAGAAGCATAATGGCAACTGGGTGGGGGAGGTGGGAAACATGGGAGGATCAGAGGAACTTAGATAGGGCAAAGGGGAGGGAGGGGAAAGGAGGGGGCAAAGGGTAAGAATGATGGTGGAATGAGTTAGACATCATTACCCTAAGACATGAATGGCGTGAAAATATTCTATGTACAAATCAGTGTCTTAAAAATTGTGCTCTCTGTGTAATATGAAATGAATTGCATTCTTCCATCATGTATAATAAATCAGAATAAATTTTTAAAAATAAAATATTTTTTAAAATGAAGTAACTTAAAATAAGATGATACTTGTACAGAAACAAATAGACCAACAGAATATTCATTGAGGTCTACAAAATACACATATAGGTGGCTTTAGAAGCCCTCTTCTCTAATATACAAGTTTTGAGTTCTTATTTAGGCTTTTTAAAAGTAGAGTACTTCAAAGTAGGTGATGTATAATCTGAATATAGAAAAAGACATCGGTGTATAATCCCTCCAAATATTCTCTCCTAGATCAAATTCAAAGCAAGTAACTTTTTACAGTGATTTCCTCTGGTAAGTTGTTTCAAATCAATCTAGTTTTCACAAAAACAATTCTCTAATTTTAGCACAATTGTTTTGTTGTTTATATCATACATAAAGTTTTGACAAGAAGCACCTTTGAAGAAACTTTACATTTGAATCCCGGTGAGCAGATTCAAGTTAATTAGGGAGAATCAAAATATGTCAATGTTATCAACTTATTATGCTTCACAATAGAAATGGATAGAGTTAATCAGGCAAGTTAGTTAAGAAATTTCTACTCTATACATGCAAACATGAGAATTTTATATATGATAGGTGGCATTTCACCGAGAAAATTAAGTTATTCACTAATTGATACTAAGACAACTGGTTATCTATTTGGGAAGAACTTTCCTACCTCATAAAACACACACACACACACACACACACACACACACACACACACACACACACACGAGAGGACTTTCACTTCTGGGAAGTGAAATTGTGACACAGTGATCAACTCCCTAGGTTATATTTTTACCCGACTTGAGATGAAGGTCAGTAAAATAGACACATAAATTGGCACATACAAAATAATAGCAACCTGTGCTCTCCAAATAATGGGCCAAAAAAGAGATATCCTGGCAAGACAGAAATCTTTTAGGCAATAATTGCTCTGACTCCAGACAAACAAAAGAGAGAAAATGTGGCCCCACCCACACCAGCAAAGTCCACGTAGGAAACCTAGACTTCCAACTTTTCAGAGGCTGTAATGAAAAACTTCAACCTCCTTTTTGCCTACCAGACAAAAATCAGCAGATATCAAAGACTTCAATATATTCAACCAAAGGATCTATTTAATGTTTATAGAATCCTCTATCCCAAAATAGCACTTTATCAAGTGTCCAACAAATAAATACCAAGAGAAACCACAGCTTGGACCATAAAATAAAACCCCACAAAATTTAGATGAATTGAAATCACAGTGTGTTCTCCAAGCACAATGGAATCAAACTAGAAATCAGTATTACAAAGTGCTACGGGTTGGACTCTACTATCCCCAAGATTCATGGGCTGGCGACTTAGTCCCTAATATGACAGTGTTGGGGTGATGAAACCTTTAGGATGCAGGGCCTTATGGTGGGTGATTAGATCATTAGTGGAACTGCCCTTGGAAGATACTAATGTAATTCTCACTGGAATGTGATTAGCTCAAGCAAAGATGTGTTGTTATAAAAGGAGTGAGACTGGCCCCTGAATCCCACTGGCTTCATGTCTTGCTATGTGGTCTCTCCCTCTTGCAGACACCTGTTATGGTGTCATTTGCCACAAGGTGACACAGTCAACAGGACCAGAGTACAAACTGACAGGACCATCAATCTCGAAATTTTAGCTTCCTAAACGATAAGCTAAACCAATCTCTTTATATAAAAGTACCAAGCCTCAGGTATTTGTTTTAGTAACAACAACAACAACAACAACAACAACAAAAACAGACTAATATCCAAAGATAACTAATACACAAAGATAATCACTTGGAAGTAAACAACAAACTTCTAAAATAATTCATGGGTCAAAAAGGAATTCTTCAGGGAAGTCAAATATTAAACAGAAATTAATGAAAACAAAAATACAATCTAGAGACATTTGTAGGACACAGCTAAAATGGAGCTAGGAGGAAATTTTATGGCACTCAAGGCAAACACAAAGAAGAACATCCTCAAATCAGTAATCTCACCTGCTTATACCTCAAGAACCTAGAAAAACATGAGAAAAATAAATTTAAAGCAAACAAAAGGAAGAAAATGATTAAGAGCAGAAATCAATAAAATCAACCCCACAAAAAAATTCAAAAACCAAGGAAACAAACTGGTTCTTTAAAAAGATCAATAAATTGACAAACTTATCAAGAAATTAAAAAAGCAAATAACTACCTAAAAATCAAATAGGTGATATCACTATGGACCCCAGGTTAATAAGGATGCATAATAAAAGAATACTACAAACAACTCTACACAAATTTGACAACTTAAGAAAATGACAAATTCCTTAAAAACACAAATTACCATTACACATCCAATATGAATTAGATTATTGAAATAGTTCTATAACTGTTAAGAAAATTAAATTCATAATTTTAAAACTCCTCCCCCAAAGAAATTCCCAGGTCCAGATAGTTTTACCAAAGAATGCTACCAAATATTTAAAGAATTATCACAAATTCTACACAGTCTCTTCTAAAAAATTAGGAAGACACTTTCTAGTTCATCTTGAAGGTTAGTATTACCCAGATGTCTAAAGTAAATAAAGACAGTATAAATAAGAAAACCGCCAATTAATATCCTTCAGGAATCTATATTCAAAAATCCTTGATAAAATATTAGCAAAGGGAATTCAACAGTATGTAGAGAGATTTGACATTTCATGACCAAGTTGTTTTTTTCAGGTTTAATATTTTAAAATTGATAAGTAAATTTACAACATTAACAAGATAATATAGAAAAAAATCATATGAGCACATTAACTGGTACCAAAATACTGACAAAATTCAACACCCATTCATGATAAAAGCTCTCAGAAAAATATGGGGCTGGGGATGTGGCTCAAGTGGTAGCGCGCTCGCCTAGCATGCGTGAGGCACTGGGTTCAATTCTCAGCACCACATAAAAATAAAGATATTGTGGTTCCACCTAAAACTAAGATAAAATAAAATAAAATACATAAGAACTTCCTTGATTTGATAAATGGCATGTTCAAAAAAAGGTACAGCAAATATCATACTTAATATAGTGAAGAGATCAAATACTTTTTCCTAATAACAGAAAAAAAGGTAAAAATGTCCACTCCCATCACTCTTACTCAAAAAAGAGATTTTTGAAGTTTTAGTTGGTTCAGTAAGGCAAGTAAAGGAAATAAAGGGCACCTAGATCAGAAAGGAAGAAATAAAACTATGCTTATTTGCTGACGATATGACTGACAACACAGAAGCGTCTAAGAAATCTAATTTTTAGAAACCCATATCCAACTCCTAATACTGTTCAAAATTATTAAATGGAGGTAATTAAGACAGAGGTAGCTCTAAAGCCCTGGGAAACTATGCAAGTAAAAAGAAATCTAACAAGAATTAAAAAAAAAAAAATGAAACT